ATAAAATAAATATTGCTAATTAATAAGCCATAATAAAAATTAACATAATCTAAAAATACTATATAGGTCATGCTAAAATAAGTATAGCTAATAAGTACTACTATTAATTACATAACTAAGCACTAAAGAAAAAGATAAACTAAGTTATGCATGTTCATTATAAACCAATGTAAAACTAAAATAATCATCCAACACTTTCGTCATTCCTAGTATTGAATTGAATTTATTTTGTTAGCATTAGTATTGATTTGAACTTTGTTTGAGTTACTACATTTATGGGTTATAAAATTTATTTACCATTCAAGAATGTTAAGTCTAAACTTGAAATAATACGTTAAAAGATAAAATTGTGAAAACGTTTAAGAAATATTTATAAATTATATTACAATAAATACTTATATGTATAAAATATTTTTAAAAATTATATAAATGTACTATCGGGTTGGTTTGGTTTCGGTTTGACTTTTTTAGTTAAAATCAAACTAAACCAATTATGGTCGGGTTTATTTTCCAATACCAAACCAAATCAAACCAAAACACATTAGGTTTTTTTTTCGATTTGACTCGGATTATCGATTTGGTGCGATTTATCGATTTTCTTTGTACACCCCAAGATCTAACTAAGAATAAACATAATGGTTAGTTCGAAAGGATCATATAAGCAATATGAACTAGTTAGGATTACGGTTTAAATTGTTAATGTTACATCTACATTAGATCCGTGTGTTTGTCTAGAGTTCCTTAATCATATGTATATATGTAGTACGAGATGGAATATATATATCTGAATAGAGCAAATTGATTGATAAATTATTGGCAAAAGGAATATAATCCATCTGTATAGTGAAGTCTAAATCAGAGTAAAAGAAGTTGGAAAAGGTACGGAAGTTCGAGTCAGACACATCTTATTAAATAATTGCTGGATCTTCTTCTACACGGGAGTCTCATAATCTAGCATGTGCTTGTCTAACTCTGACCTATGAAATATGAACATGTTTGTCCCTCATCTAAATAAGAAATAGTAATACTTCTTTAGATCTGTGCCATGTTCAAAGACAGACTTCACTATGTAAATCATGTTTCTAACTTCTTTTAGTGCACATATAATATACAGTACTTACTTATTGTTTGGACTTTGGACATTGAATTTTTCAAGACATTTTCCGGCTAAGAGTCGGACTAGTATAATCCAAGGGGTCATTTGGTCCACATAATAAAGAAAAATATAATCCACGATAAAATGTGAAATTATTTAATATCTTGCTTTATTTTATTTCTGATATAGGTAATTCGGGGATGTGTTATACCACAAAGTAAACAGATTCATCCTAAAACCAGGGATACTATCTTAACAGGGAGTGACTAGTGACTACTCTCCTAAATTTTCATCTGAAAGGGAGAACCCTATCATTTAACTTTAGCAACTTCTAAGGAATAAGCTGTATTACCTAATTAGAGCATTTCAAACTCTAAAATAACTTTTGTTGAGCAATTCATTCTCTATCTTCTTTCTGGCTCTATAAAAGCTTCCACCTATGACCTATGAAAGGAAGACCAAGGCCATCTCAGAATTTGACAACAGAAATCAAAAGAACGGACATATATACGGTTGCGCCTCCTGAAGTATTATCCCGTGCACCAGGCAATAATGTGTAACATTTAAGATAAGAGGCATTAGAGACGGCTATGGAGCGAGACGAGGCAAATCATAAACAGGTTAGGACACGAGCGCTCTTATTCTGGGCAACGCGTGTTAAAACATTCTTTTGAAAATCAGAAGCGACGCAAGACAGATACAAATCCAACAAGAATTAACAAGTTTTATTATTTAAATTCAGTCATGTTTAGCTAAATGACTATCGAAGATAAGAACATACAAGAACAACAACAACAAACCCAGTAATTTTTCACAAGTGGGGTCTGGAGAGGTAAGATGTACGCAGCCTTACCCCTACCCCTGGAAGAGCAGAGAGGTTGTTTCCGATAGACCCTCGACTAGAGAACGACCGAAAAAGGAAAGGTAATTGCAACAAGTAGGAATAACAGCAAGATGAAAAAAGATCGAATCCAAAAATGCAGTCAAACTCTAGGTAGTAATAGCCATCTATGAATAAAAGATATCATACTAACACTAATGCTAGCGAACTGAGTAAGACAAAGAGAAACGCTCGACTACCTACGAACCTTCTACCCTAATCTTTGACCTCCACACCTCCTGTCTAGTCTAGGGCCATGCCCTCAGTCAGCTCCAACTGCGCCATGTCCCGCCTAATAACCTCTTCCCAAGACTTCTTAGGCCTACCTCTACCCCTCATGCTGCCCACCGAGGCTAACCTCTCGCACCTTCTAACTGGGGCTTCTATACTTCTCCTTTTAACATGCCCGAACCATCTCAACTTCGCCTCCCGCATCTTATCCTCCACAGGGGCCACTCCCACCTTTTCCCGAATAACTTCATTTCTAATCTTATCCAACTGAGTATGTCCACATATCCACCTCAATATCTTCATCTAAGGTACTTTTAGCTTCTGGGTATGAGAGTTCTAGATTGGCCAACACTCTACTCCATACAACATAGTCGGTCTAACTACAACTTTGTAGAACTTACCTTTAAGTCTTAGCGACACATTCTTATCACACACGACACCGGAAGCGAGCCTCCACTTCATCCATCCTGCTCCGATACGATGCGTGACATCTTCATCAATCTCCCCGTTACCTTGTATTATAGATCCAAGATACTTGAAACTCTTGGGGATGACTTGCGTATCAAGCCTCATCTCCATATCCCCTTCCTAGGTACCATTGCTGAACTTGCACTCAATGTTTCCATATTGGTCCTGCTCAACTTGAAACCCTTAGACTCTAGGGTCTTCCTCCAAACCTCCAGCCTCTCGTTAACACCACCCCGCACCTCGTCAATTAAAACTATGTCATCACCAAATAACATACACCATGGTACCTCACCTTGAATGTGTCTCGTCAATGCGTCCATTGCCAAGGAAAATAGGAGTGGACTAAGAGTTGATCCCTGGTGCAACCCCATCATAACCGGAAAGTGTTCCGAGTCTCCTCTCGCTGCCCTAACCCGAGTTTTAGCTTCATCATACATGTCCTTAATTACCCTAATGTAGGCTGCTGGGACCCCTTTAGCCTCCAAGCACCGCCAGAGCACTTCTCTCGGGATTTTGTCATATGCTTTCTCTAGGTCAATGAACACCATGTGCAAGTCTTTCTTTATCTCCCTATACCGCTCCACCAATCTCCTCACAATGTGAATGACTTCCATAGTCGAATGCCCTGGCATAAAACCGAACTGGTTCTCAGAAAAGGACACACTGGTCCTCACCCTCACTTCAACCACCCTCTCCCAAACTTTCATAGTATGGCTTAGCAACTTAGTCCCTCTATAATTCTTGCAACTTTGGATATCGTCATTATTTTTTTATAGATGAATCATCGTACTCCACCTCCAATCATCAGGCATCTTCTTTGTCCTAAAAATGACGTTGAACAACCTAGTGAGCCATTCCAAACCTGCCCTACCCGCATTCTTCCAAAATTCCACAGGTATTTCATCTGGCCCAGTAGCTCTACCACTGTGCATCTTACGCGTAGCCCCCTCGACCTCCTCTACTCTTATGCGCCTACAATACCCGAAATCCCGGCACATTTCGGAGTGCTCCAAGTCGCCCAGTACAATGTCCCTTTCACCCTCTTCGTTCAGGAGTTTATGGAAATATGTCTGTCATCTTCGTCTAATCTGTCCCCACGGTGTAGGATAATACTGGGTATGTTGTTGTATCTTCGTATAATCTGAACCTCTTCCATCAAAACTCTACCTTCCTCATCTTTGATACACTTAACTTGATCCAAATCACGGGTCTTCCTCTCTCTCACCTTGGCTAGCATGTATAGCTTCTTGTCCCCGCCTTTGGCCTCAAGCTCTTCATACAAAAGCCCAAACGCCGCAGTAACCGCTAACTTCGCCTCCTTCTTATCCCTCCTATACCCCTCCCTGTTCATCCTCTTCGCCTCCTCGTCCATGCTCTCTATAAGCGTCAAGTACGCCGCTTGCTTGGCTTCCACCTTTCTCTTGTACCTTCTCGCTCTACCACCAGTCACCTTTGTGCCCGCTAGAGAAACCCTTCGAGACCCCTAACACTTCTCTCGCAACTACTCTAATACACTCCGTTGTCGTGGTCCACATACAGCTCGAGTCCCCACTGCTTCTCCAGGCTCCCATAGCCAACAACTTCCCCCAACTCCTGCGCTTTGTCACTAGTCAAAGTACCCCACCTGATCCTAGGTTGACCATACACAACCCTCTTCCTCCTCTTCCTCACGATCTCTAAGTCCATCACCAATAATCTATGCTAAGTCGTGAGATTCTCGCTTGGTATAACCTTGCAATCCATGCAAAAAATCCTATCGCACTTCTAGATGAGTAGATAATCAATTTGAGTCTTGGCCAACGAACTCCGAGGAATGTAACCAAGTGCTCCTCCCTTTTCGGAAAATACGAGTTGGCAATCATCAAATCAAAGGCTTTAGCACAGTCCAACAACGAAGTACCTCCTCCGTTCCTAACTCCAAAGCCAAAGCCGCCATGCACACCGTCATACCCCTCAGATGTCGCCCCAATGCGACAATTGAAGTCATCTCCTATGAATAACTTCTCGGTGAGCGGAATGCCACGTATCGACCTGTCAAATTCTTCCCAGAAGTGCCTCTTAATCTCCCCGTCCAAACCCACTTGAGGCGCGTAAGCACTAATCACATTTACTTGTGTTCTTATCTAATCGAAGATAAGAACATAAGTAAAAGAAAACTTCAACGAGACAAGGTAGGCCTATGCGGCATAAGCGGTTAAAATAGAAAAATTGCTAGTGAAAAGGTATGACGGGTTAAAGTTTTTCAAGTATACTAGATAGAGACTTCAGACTCTCAAGTATACCAAGCAACTCTTAGCAATTGATGCTTAGAGCACAAAGATGGTTTATCCAACAGTAGGAAATAACATCATAAACATTACAGTGTTTATCAAGTCAGATTTCATCATCCAAACCAAGACCTTTCAGTTCCATAGCTTTCCTCAATCAAAGCTTATACATGTCGAAGATTACAAACTTACATAAACTATTATGGCCAACATCCCTCTCTGAGGTGAAAAGGGGGAAAAAGTGAAGAAAAGGAAAGTATAAAAGCACACATCAGTTCTTCCGACATCTACAATTAGGTAAAATTAGAATCCTGTAAGTTCCATAATCCTATTTAGCTGTTCCATTCTGTTACTCACCCGCGGTTAGCAGTAACTTTGGACTTATAATTACGCCAAAATTACATAATCAGACTAAAACGTAAGACGACGAAGTTGGGGGGTTGTACCATTGATCACCCAGCAGCCACTGCATCAGTTCTGGGGCTGGAATCGAGTAGTTGATGAAGCTTTGCTCCAGAACTATTGTTCTCATAAACTTCACTCTCCTCGTTTGCTCTATTTAAGGAACCAGAGTTATTGACTCTTGCTAGTAGGTTTGCGGTGCCTACAGGTTGCACCCTCTTATCATCAATCTTACCTAAACTCACTTCTTCTGTCGGGCTTAGCTGTTCATTGTTCAGTTTCTCCTGCGCATTCCGAAAAATGATTAGCATTTCAGATTAAAAAACCCCAGGAAAGTGATTCAACAGCAATCAAACCGCTGGAAGAGAATTTGAGATGGGACAAACTTATACCATTAAAGCAGCATTTTCTAGCTTAAGTTTCTCCGAGTTCTCCATTAATTTGTTTATCTCAGATTTGAGTGTCATGTTTTCCCCTGTTAAAGACTGAACTCGTATTGCCAATTCTTCAGCTTCAGCCTGAAGGATCGGGGAAACAAAGAACAGTATGAATATCAGAAATGGTAAGCAGCCACGTTGAAACAAACGCCATATAAATGTAAATCAACAACCATAGCTTCCATTCGCCGTGTGCACACTGCCCTTTTACCTGTTTTCTCAATCTTGATCGCCTTGCAGATTCCCGATTAGACTGTTTCCTTTTCTCCCGCTTCAGCTCACGTTCATTCTGAACATAATTGCATGACAGGAATTAGGTTCAGATGCAAAAAAGATTTCTCACCAAATTCAGTAAGAACTGCAGACACCTGGAGGTCGCTATGACATAAAAAAATCAAAGTTCACCTGATACTTGTGCTAATATACCTGTAACCAGGCTTCATTTGGCAGTGCAGGGCTGAGTTGTGAAACATTAGTTGGGCTAGCTTTCAAATGTGTACTAGCAGGATTTCTCATTTCCAAAGTTGTTGTCATGCTAGGAGAAAGTACAGTTCCCATCACTTTCTCCTCTACCTTACCAGGACGAACAACCACAATTGTCTTCTCAGAATCATTATTTACTTCCCCAGTAGGTTGACATCGTCGTAAGTGACTCTTACTATCACCAGCTGTTTAAAATCGAAGAACAGACAGATCAGCAAATGAAATCAAGCATATTACTTTTATGTACTCCAAAAAAGATAACAGTGATTAAAAAATCAAATATCTACAGCAATGAGGAAAAGGAATGTCCATGAATACACCAAAATTCCCCCAAAATAACCAATGATGCTAACACCAGAATGGGTGGAAAGATCTACAAGAAAAAGGTATAGAAGTTTGCTCAAGATGTCTTCCAGACAGTTCTATAAAGGTTAAAAGCTGAATTTACTGTAGCAACAAGCCTTTAAGAAGCCCTTTGCCATTTGCAATGTACCACGACTAGACAAGTACTTTTATTGCATGTCATATACCGCAATTCTCAAAAGCCTAGCATATCAAACACTCAAGTAGGAAACGATCGGAAAATTGGAAATTTCACAGTCCGAGGCAGAGTTGTTTCACTAGTAATTCTTTTTCTTTTGAAACTGTTAATTAAATCAAAGATTGAGAGAGATCAAACTCTTACAGTTATCAGGAGTTGTCCCACGGCTTCGTTTCTTACTTCTCTCACTGACCTAGAATACAAGAAGAAGAAATCAGTATCCACTGCTTTCATTCGATGCAAATAAATCTACTTAATTGAGATGCATAGATTTATCGTAAGAAAAGAACATACCCCAGCTCCATTTGTGTCACTTCCATCAGTTGAACCTTCAGTGTCCCCACTGGCCACAACATAAAAACTGAAATTTAGTTTAACTGGTTCAAAAAGAAGAATTACAAAATGTAATCCTCAATGCAGGACCAGAAATGGAAAATAATCAGACACTGCGAAAGTTGAGCATTGTCCTGAAATAACTGAACAAGATCTTTAATTTATTAAATCACAAACCTCTGTGAATTTCCATGGTCCGTTCCACCCTCAATGTTGTCAGCACTGCCATTTCCTAGTGACATTGCCAGCAAGCCTCGATCAGAATTCTCTGAAGACTTAGCAGATGCATCCAAACTCAAAGAAGCACCATCCTACACAATGTAGAGTGATTTAGTCTATATCAAATTCCTGGGTCATACAAATACATTGAGCTAATGGTAATAAATCAGACAATGAAGCCATTCTCGAAAAATTAATTTCATACATACTGAAAGGCTTTAAAAACTGGCATACATACCATGGCTTGGCTGACAGCAGGAGATGTTGCCATCCCATGACCTGGAGGGTGAGATCCCTGGAACCAAAAAACAAAACATAAAAACAAATAACAAATAACAATCTGTAAGATGGGCGGTCTATGGTTGTTGCTTAGCCAACACACTGTCGTTACTCTAACATTATGCAGCTATGCCGTCGTGTGCTGAATACATGCATTGTCAAAGCGAGTAATCTCTGTTATAAATGTAATACTTAAAGGAGTCAAACTAAAAAAGCCCTGTTCCCCAAAGACAGGGAACAAATAAAGGTCATTCAAATTTTATACGAGAACTTCAAGACACGATCCACACCAAGTCATAGAGCCAATATGTGTTAATTTTCAGCTGATTAATTGACCAAACTGAGATCCTGTTGCATCATTGTTTTAAGGAACAAGCAAATACCTTCCATCCCAACAGATGAATATCGTACTTATAATGCAGATATTGGACAAATTTTTGTTCAATTTCAAGGGTTATTTTCTGAATCAATTAAGCTGTGCTGTGTTAAAACTGTTTACTTTGTCCCAACACATTGCTTGCTCTATGGTACCACCAGGTCCTAATCACAAATTCCAGGTCAAAGAACTTTACCCAAAACAATAGAAATCAAGGAGCATTTGTTATATTGATCTAAGAATTAAAATAGAACTCTGGGAATGCAAACTCACAATTGGAACTCCAGGATGTGCA